TCCCAAATCAATCATTAATCAAGACTTGCGTACAAGCCAGATCTATAGGGACATATTCTTAATTAACACTCCCTCTTCCCAGAAACATCTAGGCTTGTGCCAAGTTTACAGATAACAACCAGCATACTATCCTAGGTGAGGAGGTCTATACTCCTCAGTGTGACACCATGCTCTTTCCCTCTTGCACAACAGACGGCTTCATCGCCTCCCTTTCTTTGTCTTGTTTTGAGATTGGGTTTCACTGTGTAGACCTTGCTGGCCTAGAACTCACCAGGCTGGCCTCAAACTCACAGACATCTATCTGCCTTTGTCTCCTAACCGTTGAGAATAAAGGTTTATGCCACCATACCTGGCTACAATGTAGATTTTGCAAATGACATTCTGTCATTGTTCCTAATGTTTTAACTTACTCATCCCTGGCTGGCTACCCCCAGCTCTTGACCCCACTTTTACTCTTTCAGTTTGGCCACTTCTTATCACTTTGGACTACCATATAGACCAAAACAAAGAAAATGGACTAAAGATGCCTGAGCTTATGAAGATTTATATCAATGAAAGCAGGACCTAAGAACATTAGGTTGTTTACAAGGTACATGAACAGGTCAATGGTTTCCACCTAGTTCAAACCAGCGTCATAAGTAACAAATCTAAAACTTCTTGGAATGTTATATAATCTTGTATGAATATTGGCAGAATGAAACAAAGCAAGAAAAAACCAAATCAAAGCTGAAAAGGCCTGGTTACCAAAGAACCAAACCAAAGCATATGAAAGGTACTGGGTAGGTACTACAAATCTGCTGAGCCCGATGCTGTCATAGAATATGAAATAATGTTAATCATCTTTAAACTTCACAGTCAATCAAACTCATATTTCCCTGCATTTTAGATTTAAGAGCAACCTAACTAATTTACCATGCTGACAGTAATTTGGCAAGTATAGACTTAAGTCAGGAGACTACAAGATTTCATGAACACAGGAAAAAAGGTAAGCTGTGAGTTCACAGAGCTAAGGACATAGAATGGAACCAACTCTCAGTAATCAGCTGGCTTCTGCCAAATAAAGATAAACTCTAATTATCTGTGCTTAACAAGTGAAACATGAATGATAGGTTAAGCTAATGAATGCTACCAATGTCGCAAACTTTTAAGAGGCACTATCAAAAAGATCCAGAGACATACTCAGCTTTATTCTTATCTTTATGGGGAAAAAAGACTAGGAACCAGAGGGTGCTGGTGGGAGAGACACCCAGAGCCAGGGACTTGGAAAAATGGATTTTTAAAATTCTACGTTTATGAAACAGCCATGCTTAGTACTAATCAAGGCAGAGGGAAGTATTTTGAAATGTTAATAGAACTAAAAAAATAATAAAAGCTCAATTGAATGTTTTCCTTTATGAAATTAGGTTTTTGAAATATTTGTTTTTGAAACTACATGCACGTGTTAAAACCAAAATAGATCCAGCTCCAGTTCAATTCATTTGTTCATTAATTTATTCAGCAAATATGTATTGAATGCTATGTATAAGGAATGGGAGAAAAGGAGCTCTAACAGTAGAGATAAGATATACCCCAAGATGACCAGGATTTATCCCCAGTGTTTGAACTGAACTGACTTTTTGGGGCCCATTCTCTTTGGAAGGCTGCCTTGCTCAGCCTAGATATAGGAGGGAGGGCCTTGGTTCTGCCTCAAAGGAATGTGTTAGACTTTGTTGACTCCCCATGGGAAGCCTTACCCTCTCTAAGGAATGGATTGGGGTGGGACAGGTGGAAGGTAGGGGAGTGGGAGAAGGGGAGAGGGAACTGGGATTGGTATGTAAAATGAGAAAAGACTATCAACCCTGTCTCGAAAAAACCAAAAAAATAAAATAAAATAAAAAAAATTAAAAAAGGAAAAACGATATACCCAAGATGTATGTAGAATAGCAACCTTGAGTTTCTCTAGGGCATTGGGCCAGGAAAATTGTGAAAAAGAGTAATTAATAGAATTAATAACATATGTAGTCAGGAATTGGAGTCTCCAATTAACTCTCCTCTGCTAACTGCAATGTGAACATAAATCACATTTATAGAATAAGGACACCAAATATTCACAGATATTTGACATTTAGAAATACTAAATAAACACTAAATATACACAAATATTTACATATACTCAAAGTCCCCATCCAGAGATTGAGTACAATACTAAAATATCCTTGCCCATTTTCTCCACAAGTAGGCTATTATTTGTCATTTTTGCAGCCTAATTCTGACTTGGGAAATATCCAGGCTGGCAGGCACAGAGAAAGAGAATCTAGTGATTTCCTAGGCTTTTTTAGGGAGGCAAATGACAAATTAAAGGCTTTGAAAGCAACACCCAATGCAAAGGTCACAGAAGCAGAATGGTCCTACATCTCTTTCTTAAAATCTCTAAGAAGACAGCAGAGGATAGGGCAAGAAAACGAGGAAGGCTGTTCCCAAGAGGGAGACACTTCTTTGGGATTTAAGTAGGAGGTGAAAATCGAACTAAGAAGAAGAAGAAAAGAAAAGACTCATTCTGACCTTTTCAAGATAACCCCCAGAAAGACTCACATAATGGCAGAGGCCTCGTTTTGGAGCACTAAGTTGCCCTGCTATATAATCTTTCTTTCAGAGAACAAACCATCCCATTTTCAGTGACAATCCTGGATATATTTCAGGGTAAAGTGGTTGAACTAGTTTATTCAAGGACGTTTGTTCTTTGCAACGCTCTCAAGGTAAGGCACATTCTGGGGGAATAAACCCGATTTCTATGTAGATGGCATTTACATAGAATGGCTCTTTATTCTCTGAACCAAGGTAGAGTTGGCTATTTTGAGTGTGAAAAAATAAACCTGGTATGAATTTATGTCTACCACTAGCTGACTGGGAAATCTGGGGCAAGCTATTTGAACCTCTCTCAGCCTGTGCTTTCTCATCTAAAGAAAGGAGATGTGTACTTCTTTGTACAGCTTTTAAAAAGATTAAATGATCTAAAATATATGAAAGTACTTTTAAAATGAGAAGCTGGTAGTGTTTCTCAGTGGTAGAATGGGTCCTTAGCACGCATGAGGTCATGGATTCAGTCCCTAGTACCAGAGACGGTGCTCTGAAAATGATGAAATGATACATAAATAAGTTTAATCAGTATTCCTCCCCAACACTCATTGACCTGGTTACCATGGCATGGAGGGAGCATCGCACAACCCACCAACAAAACCTATATCCTGACTAATGGCCTAAAAGATGTACTAAGCAATGGTAAGCATCATATACTAGACAATGTACATACTCTTCAAGAGCATCAGATTGTGTTTATAGGGGAAATCCCAATCCTTTCTTCTCTTTTGACTTTGATAAAGATTTAATATGAATGACTACTAGCTATTGTTACTACTTATTATTAGTGACTCTTTCCAGTAAAATAATAGGAGAAGTATCTTGGATTTCATTCCTACTTTTACAAATAGAGCTAATAAAATAAAGCTATCATTAATCTTCTCTCCACAAATGTACAATATTACAGCATTACTGGCGGTCATGTGACCTCCTTGCTATATTCTTAAATTTATATCATATAAGGATGAGGACATGATCTGTAGTGTTTTACCAAACACTTCCTGAGTAGTGAAATATTATCACTGTGGTAGGACCTACTAGAGGAACAAGATGCTGATCACTGAATGGCCAGGACTCATTTGAAGGAGGTACGGACAACAGGGCAAACTGCCCTTAGTTTTCTGGGCAAAATCTAAAGTTATATAGGCCAACAGCGAGCATGAACATGGCCCAGAAAGTAGATGCAAACAAAATCAAAATACTGGCTACAGCAGCATGGTCAGTAGAAGAAGGTGGCGTTGACAAAAGCAAGTCGAGAGAACACAGTGGAAGGTTTGGACGCCCTGCTGAGAAGCTGGGTATTCATTCAAGATACAGTAATCCAGTAAAGTAAGAATGCCATGATAGGCCTTGGTTCTGGAAAGCTACACAAAGAGTCAGCGCAGAGGATTTATCGGGAAAATGGGCGAGGAACTCAAGGGAAGCCAATTTGATAAAGAGCTCTGGCCAGAGGTCAGAGGTATTAAGAGCTGAAAGGCTAGTAGCAGCAGAAGGGACTAGATGAATGACAGCCAGCTTTTTCATGCTGAGGTGACATTCTCCCTCAGGGCACTGGGTCTCAAATACAGTATGTCCTCTAGATTAAGAGGTCTTGCTGCCTTGGGCTAACCAAAAGAGATGAAAGTATTTAAGTGCTACAGATTTGAACAGTCTGGCTTTTAAAGACTTGCCTGGTGGCACTGTCTGTAGCAAGCCACACTATGATTACAGGTGCTTATATGAAAAGGTTCCCTTAACCAGGGTACCCGTGGCATAGCAAATGTAAAACAAAAGGAAGAGACCAAGGTTTTGTATTATCCTGACACCACACAATGGTCTAGATCCTTACAATTTATCTGCTTTAGGCATTATGAATTTTCTTTTTTTAATAATTGTACTTTTTTTTTTACAGGTAATGGCTAACACCTGGAATTGCCTACCTAATCTGCTATGAAGATGAACAAAAGCAGTAACTTCTCTACTTGATGATGAAAAACAAGAGGAAATACTGTTCCCAAATATGACAAAGCCAATGAATCTAATGTTTATGGCAATATGGCCAAACATGTAAAATTTATATAACCACGAATTAAATCACTTAGTTTTTCTCTTAAGTTCTCTTCCCAAATACAAATATATCAAAACCTATGGCACACATGCAATAAACCCAATGCCCCCATTAGCATTAATCCCCTCACACCTAAATTAGGAGGTATTTATTAATCATGCTACATGGCACTCATTTTCTTCTTTCAGACAAGAAGTGAATCTGCAAAAGGAGCCGAACAGATTATTTTCGCAAACAGTTAGACATCGAGTGACTAAGTGAAGACTCCTGGCACTCGTCTTCATGTGCAAGCGTGTGCACTCCGCTTACCAATGACACAGCTACAGAGAAAACTCACCTGTTTTCTTCCTCAAGATCTGCTAGGATTCTCTCTAGCTCCCCTCTTTCCTCACTCTCTAAGGAAATCAAGATCTGGGCAGGACTACGAGGCTGGCTCAGGGGGGAGTCCTGGTTCAAACTTTGGCAGTAATGCTGGATTAACAAATGTTCATCATCTCTGGAAAATAAAATCAAAGGTTTTGGTTTTTCCACCCCCCTTATTTTGTTTTGGGGTCAGGGACTCAGATGTGTATTTGAAAATAGAAACATTTCTTTGCTCTCAACAATTAGTCAGACCCTTCCGTGCCCCTGTTCTGAAGACATTTAGGTACCGCTGTAGTGATGGACAGTTTAAATTGTTTCTTTTTTCAAAAATCCACATGAAACTTACTGGCTTATTTACACAGATAAATCAAAGACAGAATTACAGAAATACTTGGGAGTCTATTTTAACACTTTAGCTTGTTATCAACTAACAAATACTTTTTTTAAAAAAATAACAATGGCTATTTAATTCTTTTGCTAGTAAGTATGTCAAGATGATCTGTTCATTAGCCATGGTACTGATACTGATTGGGTAGGGAGGAGGGAAACATAGTTCTTAAAATAGGAAATAGTATCTTCAGTGGAAGGCAAAAACCCAAATGAGCTGCTTCAGCCAGCTAATTTTAACTCATAGGCCTCAGAGGTGGGATGTTAGCAATAACTAACCTGTGGATAACTGGTTGTTTTAAATACTGTTTAGATATAAATACAAAATTGAAGGGGGTGAAGACATTAAGGTGACTGATTAATACAGGATAAGAACACCTCATTCCTTAGGCTGAATCTTAAGCACTATTTCTGTTGCGGGGAGGGCAGAGGAAGGCATATTCTGAGAGGCAGTTGCATTCTCCTGGCAAGAAGGAACTTTCTAATAACACTCAGGAGAAATCACTCTAAGAATGAAGTGCTCTAAGTTTTTGAAAACTCCATTGTACCTTCAGGTTCTAGGAACTTCATTTTCTTCTTAATGAAACGCTAAAGCTCCTTGTTTCTGGTTCCATGGCGTTAACATGAGCATATGCTACCTTTTGCATACCCACTTAATTATGGTTTTCCGGAGGGGATTTCTGCATAGCCCAGGCTGGCCTTAAGCTGGCAACCCTTCTGTCTCAGCCTCCTGATTACTGGCACGAGTCTGCATGCCTAGCATGCCAGAGCCACCGCATTCTCAGTTTGAAAAGACCAGGTCCTTAGGAAAATGTTTTCATGGCTTCCGTTTTGTTGTCAGTCAATAGAGAGAAGTGGTGGAGATGTTACTAAGTAATCACTGGAGCATTGGGATACATTGCAGTGGGTGACTTCTTGCCTAGCATGCATAAAGCCCTCCTTAACACCACAAAAATAATGATAATAATAAATATTATGATTTTCAGTGGCATTAAAAAGAAACATTTAAATGAAATCAGCTGATCCATCAAAACTGTTCCTAAATAACATATTTTGCTAAACAACAGAGTGAAAATGGATTGCATGTCCTCAGAATGAGCTACAGCTAAATTTTGTTGTAAAATAAAACAATCAAGGTCTTTATCACATAGCTAATATATTAGTACTCAAATTCTATAGTAGTCCTCAAATTCTAAAATTTTATTGCTAGGACTTCCCATATTTAACTGGAACCTATACTTGTTAAGTTTTCTTCCTGTTCTCTGTGGCAGTTCCATGCCTGCCAGAGACTGTCATATGGATACACTCTAAATTAATGTGGAAGTGTGAGAGCATCTTCAATACAAAACTGGGTAGCCAAATGAGTGAACCATTCAAGCCTTTATACGGAGTTGGTTCTTTAGCTACTCACTTTCCTGCTGGAAGATCAGATAATAGCATCACAGTTTTAATTGGGGAAAGGATATTTGTTTGAAGTAAATGACTGGCTGGTGACGTCTCTCTTATTATATTGGTCTCCTCTATGTACTAAATCATTTGGAATTCAATAATTACATAGAAATCCCACTTTAATACAATTTGCTTTGGCTTAATCCTTATGAAGGTCCCTTCCTCATCTGAGCAAGATGCTGGGTTCCCGTACATACTATATAGGATCACTTTACTATGCTTCCATTTGCCTATTCTCCAAAATAAGATGTTAAACCATTGTCTTACTATGTCTTATCAAGCTAAAAGCATTAAAATTCTTCTCTGCATGTTATTTGTTCAATTAGTGGGTCCTCTATTTCCTCCATACCTTCACATCTCTTCCTTCCTAATCAACATCTGATTGGATCATAGCAATGGTCCTGTGTATTCTGTACTATGTGCACTGCTCTAAACTGGTGATGATGCCTCTGCTTTGGAGCCAAGTGTGTTCTTGGCCATTTGTAACAGTAATACATCGCCTTCTTAAAATGCGATCAAGCTAGCTTATCACCCCAGTGGCAAACTGAGACCTGCATTTGTCTTCCCTCATCTGGGAACACTTCACAAGACTGCCTTTCTATATGATGCTAAAGCACAACAGTCCAGTGAAGAAAAATGCCAACTTAACAGTATATGGGAATAGATATTCTATGGGAAGACCACATTTCCACTTCTCACGAGTGGAGAAAATCCGACTTAGTTCATACTTTCAAATGTCATCTTATTCCTTATTCCAGTGTGCTCAAAAAATAACCTTTGATCTAAGTGTTTGAAATCAGTAATTTATAGTCATAAGACATTAAATAAATGTAAGTAAGGCATTTTTTTTGTTTTTGTTTTTGCTATTCTGGATCAATGCTTGTATTTGTATGAGCTCATTCTGTGCCAGGTTTTAAGAACTAAAGAAAAAGTCAATGAATGGCTCCTTGAAAGATCAAATGAATGTGATGTTAGTTCTATATCCTGTTTTTTCCTACCTCTGAATCCCTCAAAGCAATTTTATTGTCAGGAACATTTTGTAAAAAGAGATAGGATACTTACATGCTCTCATTAGGAGAGATGCTATCATTTAGATAAGATCCATTGCTGTTTTCCATTTCTGCTAGCCTGATAAAAAACGTAAAAGCTCATTAAAACTTATGTGACTTCTTAGAATCTACTCAAGACCTATGTGAACATTCCTGAAAACTAAGGAGTAACTCATGGCAAGAGGAGAAAGGAATCCTTCAAATTAAAGGATGTGTGTGTTGTCTTAACCAGTTGAAGCAGCTAGTTAGTAGCTTTGCACTTTTAATGTAAAAACTACCGGAAGCTGTATTTTGTTGGTGTTTTTTTTGGGGGGGGGTTTTCCCCCATAGATCAATCTTTCTTTCTCTGAGGACCAGTCTTTGTTTACAGAAGAAAATCTTCCCTAAAAACAAATCCACACCTTACACTTGCCCCTTGTCTTTTAAGACAATTATTGCCTTTCACTGATGATAGACGTATATAGCAAATTAATGCTTGCCACAATGGAAGAGCATGTCCAGTAGTCAGGAGGTTGATAAGGGATGGATTCACAAGTGTTCTGTGTGTTCTGTCACCGACTTAATAATAAAGCCTTTTGACAACCAGAAAAAGTTGAATAGACTTATTTAACAAGCACAAGATAAAATTAGTAGTTCAGCGATTAGGAATAAAAGTTATCTCAAATACAAAGAAGGTAGTAGAGAAAAGTTCAAGAGTCAGGAACGTTGTATCTTCTTAAAGTACATTGAGTCAAGGAAACACAAGTAAAAAGTCAGGGCTTTCACATTGTTTAGGTAACACAGTATCATTTCTCCACAGATTAATATCTAGTCTAGTAGTTTGGAAGGAGCTTTGAGGACTGACAAGCCAATTTAGCAAATGTGTTCAGAATATAAAACACAACAAAGCTACCAGAAATGTTGAAAGGCCAGGGTTAAATTAGATTGTTCTGGACCCATGCTGTTGTTGGTATCCAAAACCTCCATGCAGTAGAATGGCATGCAAGTTAGAGGGCAAATTGATTAGTAGAAATCAGAAAGGACAGAGGAAGAAAGAAAATATTTTTTTTTAAATTATTATAGGTTAGCTCTCCTTGGTTAGTTATTTCAATCAATATTTCCCTGGCATTCAACTAGTCTCATACCTGCTAGCATAATGCTCAATGCGTGAATGAGTATCATCGTGTGAAAGCTGGGGGGACGAGGTAGGCCTATAAGGCAGAAAATGTGATTAGTCATAGATACCATCCATTAATGGAGAAATAGCCCCCACCACACACTCCTGTTATATGCATGGCTTAGAATGACTTCATTCTAAGCATGCACATGTAGGTAGCTGCTCCTGTATATAAGACAGCATCAAATATTTTAAATTGAAATTTGAGAGATGATTTCTGCTTTTCCTTAAAAGCCATAAAAATAAAAAGAAAACTCTCTAAAATGTGTCAATTACACAAAAAGGTATGGGGGTAAATCGACACAGCATTACAGCCTCTCGGCTCATACATTTTCATATATGAGCGTTCTGAGGCTGTCTCAGAACTGTGTGGTTAAAACTGGAAACAGCTTACACACATCTATGAGAGCGTCTTTGGGTTGACTGTAAACTATGTATCCTTAGCAGATTTACAGTCAAGAATTTTAGTTCCACTGAGGCTATTCCATTCTAGTACTTCTTAAAATTCTATCTACCAAGATGTCTACAGAAGGAAGCTATCTGCCAATTTAACGGTAGCATTATGCTAGTATGCTCTGGAAAAAAAAAAGAAACAACTCAAGATCATGTAAGCATTTTTTAAAGAATATCTAAATTTAGTAAGATGTCATGTATCTACAATAATTTTTACTGGGGCTAGTATGTACTCAAATCCAGATGGGCAAATAAGAGAAAAGGGTGAGTATAAGTTCTGTAGGCAAAATCAAAAGGCCCCTGTCTTCAGTAGACAGGCAAGGATTGTGGTAGGGTTATCTTTTTTTCAGACTTCATAGCTGATCTACTCATTATTTCAAAAATTTTTATATCTTTTGGATTAACTTTACCAAAAAAAAAAACCCAAAAAACAAAATTTGTTCCAAAAACCAGTTTGGACTTGTGAGTTTTGCCCTATTTGAAAAGAATAAAAGATCTTTTCCATTTCTCTCCTAATACAGAAAGGACTTAGTGAAAGAAAGGCATGAACCCAAAATCCAGCGTAACATGCACAGTGAGGTCTGTTGTTTAGCCTTCAAAGACTTGGTCTGAACATGAAGATGAAAATGTTTGATTTTCTTCTTAAATTTCTGTATGTATGTGTGTGTGTGTGTGTGTGTGTGTGTGTGTATGTTACCCAAAGGGATAGCCTGCCTCAGTGTCCCCCTCGAACCCCAAACCCAGAACCTTTCAAACTTGTCAGCCTGAGTGTTGTGGGAGGTCCTCCCACTCCTCCAGCCTATCACCGCTGAGGTACCAGCCCACTGGGGCGTGGTTTCTCTCCCTTTAAAAAAGCGGCCACTTCCCTCTTCTCTCTCTCTTCACTTCCTGCTCCGCCTGCGACTAGACTCCTTTCCTGGTTGCATAGAGGGCTGTTGCCTGGGACAGTGATCTGTAAGTTTTTTCCCCTTTAAATAAATACCACCCTAATAATCATAACCCCGAATTGGTGTGGCATTGTTTGTGACTTACGCCTTCATTTTGGCGCCCAACGTGGGGCACGAACCCACGACCCTGAGATTAAGAGTCTCATGCTCTACCGACTGGGCGCCACTCTGTTGTAGTACGGAGCAGCGGGCTGTGTCCCGCCACCCGGCTAGCTTTACCCGAAATAATTACACGGAAACTGTATTCTTTTAAATACTGCCTGACCCATTAGTTTCAGTTTCTTATTGGCTAGCTTTTACATATTGATCTAACCCATTTCTATTAATCTGTGTAGCCCACGAGCTGGCTTACCAGGAATGATCTTAACCTGCGTCTGTCTGGAGTGGGAGAATCATGGCGACTCCCTGACTCAGCTTCTTTCTCCCAGCATTCCGTTCTGTTTACTCTGCCTACCTAAGGGTTGGCCTATCAAATGGGTCTAGGCAGTTTCTTTATTAATAAGAAATCACTCCCACATCACCTGAGTGTGGAGGCTGTACACACACACACACACACACACACACACACACACACATATGTGAAGATGAATGGATATATAGCGCTAGATTTGCAGAGAAAATATGGTGTAAATTTCTATTTTTTAAAATATGAAACATTGTGTTAAGATAATTACAACACACACTTAAACTAATGGCCAGGGCACTGGAGGCCTTCCTTGAGAGATAAAGGTTTTATCATATTGTGGAGGTCAAGTGTAAAATATGAGACCAGTGTTGTCTAGGTCAAGTGCAAAACATGTTTACATTTTCATGTGAAAGCAAAAGAGACAACTATTCAACTTAATAGGCAGATCCAAATATTCCCATGGGAATCTTCACTATATTTTGGAGTTAATCTGCTGTTTTTATAGAATTTTGAAATAGTTTAAAGAAAGCTACAAAGTTTCATATAAAAATATGTATATATATAGTTATATATATATATACATATATACATAAAATAAGCTAAAGCCTACCACTGAGGAAAACATATTAGCAGTAATTTTCATTATAATAGTTACTATACTGGTAGTATAGACAAAAGAAAGAAAACACAAGACCTTGAAACAAAGCTACAGCAGGAGAAGAGGGCATGTAAATCCAAAGCATATTAATGCAATCTTATCAAAAGTCTTAAAAGGAGCTGTAATTCTTAGCCTCAAGGATAATTTCCCATTATTTTACATATTAATGCACATAGTACCTAGTGCAGCTTGCATAAGTATACCAACTGGTCATAGTTAGTAATCTGGAAAAGTACAAGAGGCACTTGCTAAACCAGACAAGAAGCCAAAAGAAAGTGCTGGCCAGAGTAGAATAATTTGAAAACCAAGAATTAGTAATAATTACTCCAAAAAAATACCTTAAGTATTAAGCCTCCAAAAACACTTTCAAAGGAGGATAATAATATGGCTACTGCTTCCTGCTTTGTAAATACAGAGCAATATACCAACCAGGATCATTTCCGATTATCCCTAAGAATCGATTTGGCCAATGCCATCTCACACATGCATGTGAGAATTCCATCAGCAGGCTCTCATTTACTCAGATTTCAAAGCAGAGAAGCTCCAGCAACATTGCTAGCCTGCCTCGTTTGTGGATAAACAAAACGAGAGGCATATCCTGGATTCAGTTTAAAATACTATGACAGCTACAAAGAAACCAGGGTTTTGTCTAAGCAAAAACAAAAGATCTGTATCTCTGGAAGCTGTCCAAGTCTGTGTTCCACATTAAGTAGATTAAATACCACTATTATCATAAGATGCTCCTATCCAATATATTTTAACAAAATAAAACAGGTTAGTACCTAATTCCTCTCCTTGAATAGGACAGTTTTACAAATAGATTTTTCTATTTTATTAGAAAAGTCGGAGTAAAAAGTAAGAAAATGAGAGTATTAAAGAAAGTTCAGACTAGCATGTGGATTTGTTTTCTTCCTCCAAATTAGAACACCCCACACACTCTGAAAAATCTAGCCAACTTTTCCTAAAAAGGCAACCCAAGAATATGTTTGAGTTGTTACAAAAGATAAATTAATAAATAAGTGATTTTGAAAGCGCTTCAAGGATTAAGAAAGACAAACGTCCTCAATTTAAAAGAAGTCACTACAACCCGACTGTGATACTTTCTCATTAACATAGATTGGATCTTCTCCATTCCTTTCAAGGAACTGTTTCCTATTCCTTTTAGTCAAACATTAAAAAAAATTTCTTCGGAATCCTAACTTTTCAGACTTCCTCCCTGGTTAAACTTCCTCTGGCAGAGGAAATCTATCTATTTGATCATCTCAGTACGTCAGCAGATCGAGTTTCAAAATTGCTTAGTTATGAAGGCTTCTGACTTCTGCAAACAGAATGCTCAGGTTGGGGAAAATAATTACTGTCATGCAAATCTACAGTCTTATCGAGCAACTTCTTATATTGTTTAAGCATTAGGAATAAAGAAAAGAGACAATGCACTCTTTGTAAGTATGGTATCTCAAAATTAAATGGCACAATAATGTGAGATTAAAAAAGAAAACAAACTCTTCTACTTCCTTTGGCTATTAAAGACCTAAAATACATCTCAATTCATAGCTTATGTTTGTCTCTATCTCTCTGGGAAAAACATTATTTAGGTTCAGTTAAATTATATGGTGAGATAATATAAAAATCAAATAAATTAAATTCTCACATAAGCCACTCTTTCAAATTAGTTATGTTCCCGTTGTTACAGGACAGAGCTCCCAAACTTTAATTTGGTAAAGCATACTGTAAAACAACAAACTATTATGAAAACACTACATAACTTTTATGTAGGCATACTTTTTTTGCTAATGTGCACATCGAAGTTCTCTAAAAGATTTCATAGATTTTAATCTTTAAAGAGGTCTCACTGTGGTACTCAAGCTGGTCTCAAACTCCAGGGCTCACTTAAGCAATTCTCCTGCCTCAGCCTCTTAAATAGCTAGGACTAGTTTTGTTTATCACAATACCTAGCTCCAAAATAGTTCTCTAACAATGTAAGCTGAAATAAATCATTTGTGTGTTATTATATGATATTAGTAGCATTAATAAACACCAGTAGTAGCAACAGACTACAGAGCACTCCCTCCTTGCTTAAAGGCAAAACTGTTTATGAACTGAGTATTTTAGAGAGACGATAAAAATAAGTTTAGCTTACAAGTCAGAATTCTACATTTGTGAAAATTTTTCAAACCACATAGCATAACCTACTTTTTAAAAACATCCACACACTTCACTGAAATTAGTCAACCAAACTCAGTGTCATACTCTAAAATCTATCCTGCTTTCTACTAGTCCATTGAGAATTGCTTCCAAGGAACACACCATGACCCTTCTGAAGGTCTCCATGTATTACTTCTCAAGAAACATGGCTTTCAAATGCTATTAACCAAACGGGAGCCTCTTTCTTGCCTATATTTAAAGGAATATTGAAAATATAAACACGTCTTCCAGGACTACAGCTAAAACCTGCAGAATTCTTTTCAGTTTTATTAGAACTCAGAGCAGAATTTCTACTGACTAGCACTTCAGCAGAGAGACCTGCAGCTCTACCCAGAGCCTCTGTAAGCTGGGATAGGCCTTAGTGAGGAAAAAAACAGACAGGAAATTAGAATGTCTTTAAACCAAACAGAGCAAAATAAATAAATAAATAAACAGATAAATAAATACACAGAGCAGTCAAGCAAGTGAATGCTGGTGATCGCAGCACCCTCGGCAAAAGTACTCACACAGAATCTACTGGCCAGAAGTTGATCAGAGTAACGGGACTGCAAAACAAAACACATGAGGTGGTGAAAAGAGACACAAGCAAACCCAGCCGCAACAGAAATTAAGAAAAGGGCAAAAGAAACCAACAAAATTCAACCAAAGTATGTCTGAATCATGGAAAGCAACAGCCAAGTAAGAGTGAAAAGTGAATGAAAAGCAAAACAAATCGCTGTGTGATTGCCGTCAGAGGACGGGGAGAATCGAAGGAGGAAGTTTCCAGGAGGCAAAGCCTTCATCCAGGTGACCAGCAGATGCATTTCTACTTACTGTGAAAGCCTTCCCTGCGCCTGGGTATTTCTCTCAAGTGGAAAAGAGTGACTAGGTATGACCAGACAATTAGATACAAAAAGACACATGTCCACTGACTTGTGAGGGAAGGAACTCAAAATGAAATACTGGCATCACTCATCTGTAAACAGTCCCCGAGCTCTTAAAAGGCTTAGAAGGCAATTTGGACTTCAGTATTATTATTTTTTTTCCTTCCTTTGACTTTTGGAAAAGATAGCTGTCAAGGGAAAGTGCAATTGAAAATCAGCTTATTTGCCTTTTTTTTTTTAAAGCTAAAGTCAATCCAAAAAGAGAGAAACTGAAGAGACTGTTTGCATTTGGGAGTGAAGGAGGGTATTTGGTTGGGAGGAGTTCAGATATGTATATCGAATGGAAGTTTGCTTTGCGTCCGCCACTACTCACGTTTCCATGTTGTCCCCCTCTAACACAGTCTGCACTGGCAGGTAGCCCATTCGGGGATGCTTCGCAAAATACCTTTTGGTACGGAATTTGTTTTTCAGTACCTTGGCGAAGTCACGGACATCTTCTCCAGATGTAGTCTAAAAGGAAAATCATGATGAGAGCAGCTTTAGGAGAGCGCCATTAAAAACAAATGGCCACCTGATCTTCATCTTCATGGCACTGCTTTTGGAACCAGGGGGGATATGGGAAGGATGAGCCAAGGTCGTGGAATCAAACTATCCTAACTTGGGTGAGTTACTTACATTTATAAGACATGTATCAGTGGGAAAAGAGGGGCATTAAAAGCTGAGAAGACAGTACAGTTGGCAAAGTGCTTGCCACATAAGCCTAAGTTTGGAGTCCCAACAGCCACATAAAGGCCAAGCATGGTGGTACCTATTTATAACCTTAGCACTGGGCAAGGCAGAGACAGGTAGATCTCTAGATCTCAGGTACCAGCCAATCAACCTGTGACTTCTAGATTCTGTTAGAGACTGTGTCTCATAAATTAGCATAGAGAAAGATGGAGAGAGACACCAATCTTTAACCGCTGGTCTTCACACACACACACACACCAAAAACACACACAAACCCACAAAAATAAGTAAAGATTAAGAAGAATAAATGAAATATTCAGACTATTTAGCTATTCAATGAATGCTAGTTTATAGAAGACTTAGGCTAACTAAGTTTTACTCTACTTTTCACTACTTTTAAGCTACTTAGTTGCCATTAATATCAGAGTTCACAAACTGAATAGGAGATAATTCATAGCACGGTGGGTGCGCTGTCCAACACTGATTACCTTTGTAAGAGGAATAACAGTGAGGAAAACAGTTAAATGCTTGCAAGGACATCTGGTGATGGATGAAATCCGTGGCCAAAAGCAGAGCAGAGCCCCTGGAAATCTTGCTAATAAAATATAGATTTTGATCTCTAAAACTCCAGCTGGGGCCTGAGAGTATACATTCCTGAGAAGCTCCCAGGTGCATTCATGTGGAGTTTCTGTGTCTCTATGATCCCTGAGCCTGTGGGCTTGCCATTTCACTAGGACTTTTCTCAATTCCTGATAGCTAGTGAATATTTTCCTCGGACATGTTAGAGGTTTCTCGACTTCTTATAGAACCTTGGGCCAACTTTTTAACCTCAGTACGACAGAGTCCTCATCTATCAAAGGGGAATAAAAATAACAATACCTGCTGGGTGGTTGGTGGCATGTGCCTTTAATCCCGGCACTTGGAGGCAGAGGCAGGCAGATCTCTGAATCCGAGGCCAGTCTGGCCTACAGAGTGAGTTCCAGGACAGCCAGGACTACACAAAGAAACGCTAACTTGAAAAACAACCAAAAAAAAGAAAAAAACAACACCCAACACCCCAAAATAATAATATTAAAACAGTACCATTGCACATAAAGCCATTTAAGAGGTAACTACTTAGTTACCATGCAAATGAGTGATTAAGTATTGTCATATGAAGCATATTTTTCAAGAGTCAGTTGCTAACGTCACAAAGCTCAAGGTGAACAACAGTGATCGAGGGTAGTATGGTATGCTTTTTAAGGAATACACATACTACTCTTCTCCATTTTCACTGTGCCCTATGGCCATGAGTCTTCCCTATATGATTGCTAAGGTTGTACAAAAGAAATGTGACGTGGCCTCCCTACAACCATGCAAAAAGAGAACAACATATGCATTCATTCCAAGTACTAATTGAGTACCAGTCACCTCTGATGGGTATTAGGACCTGCGTGGTACAGACATAGGGTGGTGGAACTTCAAAACAGAACAAATAAAAAGAACCGCCCTCCAAAAAGCAAAACCAAGAATTAAGTATGACTTGCAATATCCAAATCTAGAATTCCTCTCAGGTGAAGGAACACATGTCAGGAGAACATTAACTTACCGGAGTGCAATATTCTACCATGGGGTAGTGCATTTTATGACCCTTTGCCACTCGACCAGAAAAAAAGCAGCTTTGGCAGATGTCATAATTAAAGTGCTTTAGACTTCTGTACCTGAAAAAGAACAGAAACAAACACATATGTACTTCTTCAGGTCATAGGCCCAAAGAACACTCGAGGAAACCCTCCACCACACTGCCTTCATTAGTCCTGCATAGTAAGCAATTAACTCCCACCCCAGGCTTCTCCAGTGCCTTTTCTACAGTATCAAAACATTTTGGCAGAAAGATTATCCCATACACATATGGAAGAAAGAATGAAAAACTCAACCCTTATTTAAACTACACTGGAACTGTTTCAGATTAAAAGGGAAAGGATGGGCAAACTCCTAGTCTTTTAAAGACCAAATACTCAACTTTGAAAGAACTTCAAAGTGAACGACTGACAAGAGTTTTCTGAAATACTAATTATCACAAAATTACAAAATTGAAGTTACTCATAAGAAATCTAAATAAGAACTCCAATTAAAATAACTGTTCGTTTAATTATATAATCTGTAATTGGCTGGCATGATTCATCTTCATGTCAATTGGACAATTTCTTCTCTCCAGAAATTCCTCACCATATTACTCAAAAATGACACCCTCCAAAAAAGCCAACAACAACATTGAATTAAATGGAGGATTTTCTTATTTCTCAGGACTGGTTGGTACATTTTCCTTCAGACTCAGAATACTATATATTTGTTTCAGTCCCCCTGATTTTTGCCTTCTCAGAAAAGAGCCTCAGCCAATTCAGATAAACATATTCTTGATGTCACATATGGGAAAGTGGGAAGAAAAGCTAGCATTTCTTTTTTTTTTCTTTTTTTTTTTTTTAGATCTCAACCGTCATTTCAGAAGGAATAAGGAAGAAAGAGAAGTGTTGATTCTTAAAATAATCTAATTTGATAAGGGCAAAAGAATTGAAGGGTAAAAAGAAAAACGACCATTCTTAGGTCCTCCAAAGCACGGTCCTTTGTTTTATTTTATAAAATTTTCCTCTGTTGTATACAAATCCCACTTGCTCACAAAGCTGGCTCGGGAAGATAAGAAGGAATGCAGTCACCGGCAGCTCCCCTCCCCATCTTGTAGGCTCTAGAGTACCCTTCTCACCTGTCCAAAGCCAGTAAGGAAAAAAGGCATATTCTTATAAGGATCTGTCTAACTAGGCTTTAGAAACCTGTAAGGCTTTTTTAAAAAGCTGCATGAAATTACAGGAGGAAAACCATCAATGGTAAAAGAACAGTGTATTTTAAGGAAAATAGAAAATAAAGTCATAAAATATATTTAAGCACAACTAGAAATGAATATTTACATTGGCTGCTACATGAATTCAGAAGGGGCATAGCTCCATAGCTGGTGTAAAATCCTGTTGTTTATTTTTGCTATGGAAAAGGCTCATATCAATCCAGATGTTTAAATGCATCATCATTTCAGAATTAGGACTTGGGATTATTATTAGTTGAGTTCATTTAAAAATATCCTACTTCTCCAAATGAGTCAATTGTTTTCCACGTCATTTTAAGAAGAGCAAAGTAATAGCGTGCTGTTTCCTATTCCTCTCACCTTTACACTTATAAGGAACGCTTTCTGTTTTTAGCCGCTTTGTGAATCTCATTTGCTTGCCTACCTTTTATTCCCTTAGGATTTCACCAGGATACTATGGAAATAAGAGAATCAGATTCAAAAAAGAAGAAGAAAGTTCTCAGATGCCTGGAATAATTCTTGTTACTTAAGGGGTAAAAAGAAGTACTGCCAAGTGAGAAAGAAACTGAGCTACCAGGATGCGTCTTCCCAGAATAGAAGCAACTCTTCGTTTTATAACTGATTCTTGGAGAATTTCTATAAACAGAAAAGGCCATGAAAAAAAAAAAAAAAAGAAAACAAGGGTAAAAACGTTTGAGTTCCAGGAAGGAGGAGGCACAGTTCATCTGGATGCCCTTGACCAACAAATATCTCTGTGGAGACAGGTACTCTGTCTCGCCCAACCCCAAATGTGGCTGTGAAGAGCTCAAGAGTGAAGGTGGAAGGAGACATCTGCCTAATGAGTCAGGTCCACCAAAATAACCCTGTGATCAGGGGGAATGACAACCTTGATCGATGCTTTGGCTGCATCATTTTCTCTCCCGCTTTGGAGAGGAACAAACTAACAGCAAACTGGCATGGGAGGCAAAAGACCAAGTCATGAAAACGTGAGAGACGGTAAGGTTATTTTGTCGGAGCCTAATACCTGAATCCAATGATTGGACACTCCTTGCAGATGTTACACTTGGCCTGGTGCTTGGCAGTTTCTGCAGCTGCCACTCTGTGCAAAACGGGCAGCCACACCATAGACTGGGGTTCCAGGCGCATCCAGTCGAGGAAGAGGGCCGCTTCAATCTCAGGTTTATTGTTGGCCTGGGAAAGGAGAAGGGATTGGAGGAGAGGCAGCAAAAGAGTAAGAAGGTGTTAATTTGTTTAGGTAATAAATTGAAAAGAAAGAATAGCAAGAATCACAGTTTCTCAGCTAGGTCCTCTGCTCAGACCCTGTTATGGTCCCCTTACCATCTACCAGAGACAATTACCTCACTTAACTATTAAATGACAACAAAACAAAACAAAGAAATTGGCTTAAAGGAAAAGCAAAAACACACAGCGGAATGAGATTAGATTGACCTCTAAGTCTTTGAACAGATATGCGAAAGTTGGCTGGAAGAAACAGCAAAATGTTTACTGTTTAAAATTTAAAGGAAGGGTAAATACCTCAACAACTATTGGTTCTTTTTTTTTCCTTCTGAAGGAATCCCTTTTCAATGACTACCAGTGAAGTACTTTAAATTTTAATCTAGTTCCAAAGTCTCATATTCACACTTAAGAAAACAGACACAGATCGTGATAGCAGAGAAGCAGCTTCTCAAACTATATACTGCTAACTGATGGCAAAGCTGGTTCCAGTCCCCAGCCATCCTGGCTTCTGGCTTCTACCATGGTACCCCATTGCTTCTGTATTTCTCTCTCTCAAAGCCGCATGACTCATTTCAGAAAGTACAATCATCTTAAAACTCTCAAAACATATTTACCCATTGGCTAACTGATGCCATTGTCGTCATGCATTTTAATCATATGGTGTGTTTTTAACCCTACATGATTGTAATTTTCTATCTCATTAGATAGATTGACACACACACACACACACACACACACACACACACACACACACAATGGATTTATCTCTTTACTGCTTTCTTAGTATCAGTCATGCAACTGAAATCACTTCTGTGTGAAGTATATTCTTTACAGTTTTCCTTTGGAAGATGTCTATTGGATGTAGATTTTCAGGATTCTCTTTCAAAATATCTCCCTTTTAAGCGATACTCTTGATAGCAGTGTTTAGTGGATATAAAATTCTATACGGAAGGTTCTGGGGAATGTTTGCCCTCTTTTCGTCTTAGCATAATGAAGTGTTATTTTACTTTTGTCTCCATTTCTGTGCTGCTACTACTGACACGATTGCTATTGCTATGAAATTCATTGTCCTTCTCTAGCCTTGAGTTGCTCCGTGGTTTTATTTATATTGCTGAGAATTCAGTGAGTTCCTGAAATGTGGCTTAGAGTATTGAGTCAGCTCTAGAATCTGCTCAGTTACGATTTCACCAAATCACTTCTGCATTCCTTCTCTATTTCCTTGCCCAAGTATCAGACTTCCACATTCTCCATTGTACTAATCAAGCCTTCTGGAGCATCCTCCCGTTTATAACCCTTTCTTTGTAAACATGCATGTCTAATCATTTTCTCTGTCCTACTATCTGCAAAAATCCATTTCCTCAGCTACATTCAGTTTGCTATAAAGTTGTAATTTTTTTAGAACATACTTATCTATTTCATGTGTATGTCTGTATGCCTGGGAGTATGTGTATGCATGTAGAAGACTCTCAGAAAAGAAGTGGAATGGGATTTACAAGCGGTTGTTAGCCACCATGTGGGGGCTGGGAACTGAACCCAGATACTCTGCAAGAACAGCAACTGTTCAGAACTGCGGAGTCATCATCAGCCCCTAAAGTTTTACAATTTCAGTTTTAAACATTTGAACTATTGTGAATTTTCTTTGCAGTGCTGGAAACGAGACCTATTACCCTGAAAATGGTAGGTCAGTACGATTGAACTATGAACTTAACACTGCTTATCCTACTTCTTAATACCTAGGCGCTCTACTTGGTCAGTTTTAAAGGCAGTTACAAAGCTTATATGTAGTTCCCAGAAGACGTTTTCTGTCAGGGTCAAATATGGGCCTCTAGTTTTCGCTGCTATCTTTTACTTTTCTACCAGCACAAACATCATTTAAAAATAGCCTGATTCAGCTAGGCAGGACCAACACACGCCTGCACCAGGTCCTCTGCATATGATGTCCAGGTAATGCTTTCCTGGGACTCCTGAATGTGAAAATAAGTGGGTCTCTGATTCTTGTGCCTTCTCTTAGGATCTTTTCCCCCTATTGGCTTGTCTTGTCCAAGTTCGGTTTGCAAGTTTTTGTTTTATCTTATGTTTTGTTGTTGTTGTTGTTGTTTTAAATCTGCCCCATTTCCACTCACTTTGATTTCTTCTATTCTTCGCTATGGAAGTTTTTTTTTTCCTATGTAACACTCTATACATACTTTCTGAACATACTTTGAACTACTGAATAAAAACCCCTTCTCCACAGATGATTTTAGATTTGGTCTGCCAGGAAAGTGAGGGTCTTGGACCATCTAAACTGAATCTGTGGCATGGGACCCTTAGTAGAATACAAGCACTATGCAAAGTGTCATCCCACTCCGCCCCCTCAGCACAGACCTTGCTAATAAAAGATCTAAGAGACAAAACGGCAACTGGGCTGAGACCTCCCTGACCTTGCAGCACTGACCACTCCAGAAGTACCACAGTCCTTCCTTACTCCTAAGGACAACTTATCACCAAAGTAATAAGCTACTTAACCTTAGATGTCCTTGCTACAAAATGGTATCAATTCAAACCATTGACCAAAAACCTCTGCCAATCCCTGTTCTCTATGTAAGAGTCATCACAGACAAAGTGTGCAATTATTTTTTTAAAGGAATCACTGAATGTAAAGATGAAAGAGATCATGCAAATCAATTCATTCTTTTTGGACTGGCACCATGGAGCTGTTAGTCAGAGTCCAAACTCTCTTCACCAGTGCCAGTGTGTTTGTATGGCTGCTGTCTAAGTAGCAGCCAGGTGAGAAGGCAGACATCCCTAAAGGGTGTATAAGGGACCCCAATCAGTGACTCATCATGTTGAGTTGAAATCACAGCAAGCACACAAAGGACAGAAAAGCTCTATATTCACAGCCCTAGAATCCAAACCGAAACTTTGCTACTCACTGTCCATGTGATCTGCGGAAAAAATCTTTAGCTTTATGCCATAATCTTCCTCTGGTTTGAAATGAAACTTTTTAACGTTATCTGCTTCACAGAGCTATTTTAAGATTATATGAGTTACCAGACTGAAAGGTATCTATGTCGGTATTTGGTACATAGCAAGAAGCCTGTTTTCTGAGGTCATCATTCCCAGTATCATTGAACTGATTGGAAGCTTAGACTCCAAGGCTTCATATGTGCTATCTTTGCACAGTCCTGTCAATAGTTATCAGAACTTCCATCTCTGGCTCTTCCTTTTCATTCCTGTTTCTTTTATTTCTTCGTGTGGCATGTCTCAGTTTGCCAACACCCGTCAGAAAAGAATTCCCTAAATATGTTCTACTGTGAATGATACCTCCATTATTCTGTACCGGGTAACGGATCACCTTTATTTGAGCTCAACTACAATTTCTGCACAAGTCAACTCTCTAGGTCCGTGTTTTCCAGTAATACATCCAGCAAAATCCTTTATGAAAACAAGGTTGGTTAAATTAATTAAGGATTAATCACTGTAATTGTATCTTATACCCACCTCTTAAAACATTTCACACTTTAAAATACTTAATACTTTAACAGTTAAAAATGAAGGTCATCAGTGAAAACCCATGCCAAACTATGTTTGACCTCAAATTTTCCCCATTTATAATTCAGTGACCCCAATAACTTTATTCACTTCTAGTTGATAAGGTCTGTGAGTGCCACAACACATTAACACTCAGCTGAGCATTGTGGGGAAAGCTGTTCTCTTCGGTTACCCATAGTCCTTTCACTTTACACTTGTCTTATTGGGATTTCTTTCCCTTCACATCTGTCAAGAAATTTCCTATTGGTTTGAGTCCATTGTAACCATTTCATTGGTTTAAGAATCCTGACAACAATAAATTAGCCATTCTCAACTTAGGACTTTTCATATTTCAAAATATGTGCTCTCTCTTCACACTGAAAAGTTACTGGGGGAAGGCAAGCATGGTGGCGCATGCCTTTAATCCCAGCCCTAAGAGGCAGAGGTAGGCGAAGCTCTGTGAATTCAAGGCCAGAGTCTACATAGTGGTTTCTAGGGCAACTAGGGCTATGTAGAGAGGCCATGTCACAAAAGGGGGGGAGGGAGGAGAGGAAGATTAGTGCTGAAAGCCTTGAATAGACCGAGGGCAAACATTAAGACATACTGAGAGAGCCTACTTGTTTAACATAACCTGTGATTCTGTCCTCTCTGGTTGTTGAGTTCTCCCCAGTAGCATCATCTAGTCTGTGCTGCACACATTCCTCCATCACACAAAGACTTAATGAGAGGCTTTGTCAAAAGAACTGCCAAGTACTCAGCTACAATATGTCCTATAATAATCTCTTGCTCCACTGGTCTAGAAACCAACTTTAGCAAAATAACCCTTTCTAGCCAGGAGACAAACCATTATAGAAAAGTGGTAAATTGAAAAGCATTACTAATTCACTACTATTTATGGTGTGAATCTACTGATGCTTAATCCGACTGTATATATTTAATATGACTTATTTTTAAAGGATAGACTAATGATGCATTAAGAGACATGCCACAGGGTAAGAATTCGTCCTTAATACAAAGTACAAATTATAATGTGAAATATCCTTTCATTCCCAAAAAAGAACAAGAAAACAATCTGAGTATGAGTCAGCCACAAGAAGCCATAAAGAAATACAGGAGGGGCCAAAGGCTCAGTAGTAGGGCACATGCTTAACATGTATGAAGCCCTGAGTTCCATCCCTAGGACTGGGAAGGGAAGGGGCTGGGGATATGATTCAGTGGATGGGAGACCTTGCTGTATATGCATGAAAACTAGAGTTCAAATTTCCAGCCACATGGGCCTGAAACACTGGGGCTTGTGGGTCATCAACTTAACTCCAGGTTAAGAGAGACCCTGGTTTGGGGGGATATGGCAAAAAGTGATGAAACAGGATACCCAACGTCCTCTTGTGGTCTGGGCATGGAAAGGAGTACATGTACCTGCACACACATGTATACATGCATCA